CAGCAGCAGCAGCAGCAGCAGCTGCTGCTGCTGCTGCTGCTGCTTGGTGTTGGTTGGTGTTGCGGTTCTCGTTTTTGTTTTTCTTTTGCTGTTTTTGTTATTTCTGCTTCTTCTTTATTTCTTTATTTATGTACTTGTCTGTTTATCTGTTTATTTGTTGCTGTTTCTCCTTTTGTTTGATGCTGCTTCTTTATTTCTTGTTTATCTCTGCTTTGTTTCTCCTGATGTCTCTTCTCTTCTTCTTCCCCCCTAAGCGATTTCAATCAACAACAGAATAAACAATTATTACTATTATAATTAATTATTATTATTTATTATTATTATTGATATTTATTATTATTAGTTATTTGTTTATTGCGCTCTCTGAAGATGATTCCTTTTCTTTTCAATCAAAACGCAAAACAAACAGAAGGAGAGATACAGCGACAAAATCTGCTGCTGCTGTTGCTGCTGCTGCTTGCTGCTGCTACTGCTGCTGCTTGCTGTTGCTTTTGCTGCTGCTGTTGTTGCTGGTGGTGCTGCTGTTGCTGCTGCTGCTGCGGTTGTTTTTAGACGAAACAAATAGCTGTCTATTTCTATTCGGAGGGGATGAGTAAAGAAAGACAATAAAATGAGTTTTTTCATTTATTATGTTGGCAAACAAAACAAAAAGATTTAATTGGGTGGCTGGCGATGGATTTGTTGTTTGTTTCTCTAATTCTTTTTGCTGATTTAATTGAAAAGGAAGTAAAGAAGAATATCTTTATTGTGGTATTTTATTTGTTTAATTATTTGTAGATTGGGCGAGAAATGCAATGATATTCTTTTTGTTGTTATTTAGACGAGGAAACATTAGATGTTGCAGTCCATTTATTTCAATAAAAAAATCAAACAAAATGATGAATAATGATATATTATGAGTCATATTATATTTTTTAATTAATTAAAGAAGAAAGAAAGAAAGAAAATTGATTAATATCATACAAACGCTTGGGGCTGCTCTTCTACACGCGAAGCCCCTGTTAAATTTTCCTTGTCTAACCCACAAAACAATTCTTTCTCTTCAATAAAAGCATTTTATATTTATATTGTATTTATTTTATTTTATTTTATGTCTTAATCTTTCAAAAGAAGATCAAAAAAACAGAAGAAAACGAAGACGAGTTTGCAAGTACGCCTGTTGCTGCGTTCGTGCTAACCAATTAAACCACCCATTGTTTTTCCTTTTTTAATTTTAAATTTTATTTTGTTTATTATTTATATATTTTGTTTTATTTTTATTCGAATTCTTTTTCTGTTCGGAATTAGATCCACTTTCTTCCTTTTCTCTCAGCCACTCTTCAGTTTGAATGGTCAATGCATTTCTGTACGTTTGCTTCGAATGAATTATATCTTAGATCCATTTTTCTTTTATTATTAAGCATAATAATAATAACAATAATAATAATAATAATTTATTCAACGGGTTTTCTATTGTTTTTTCTCCCTCTCTATGTGTGCGTGTGTGTTGTTTGTGTGTGTGCGTGTGTACAGGAAAGAGAAGCATAAACAAAAAGGACGAAGGAAGAAGAAAAAGAAATTAATAATATTGAAAGATAAAACAATAATTAATTAATGCTTAGGGAGAAGACAATTATTAATGGTTTTAACTATTAATTCATATTATTTATTTATAGTTAAAAAAGACGTATTCCTTACAATTATATCCTATGTATTATAATAATACTCCTTTCATTTTAAAAGAAGATTCAAAGATAGATACATAAATATATAGATTTAAAAATGTCTTCCTCTTCGTCTTCTTCTTCTTCTTCTTCTTCTTCTTCTTCTGAGGCTAACAAGACCAATTTATGTAGGCGTTGCAACTCCTATTTTAATGCAAATGAAGAAACAGATAAATGCAGATATCATCCGCAGCCTTTTGTTTGTCGCTATCATCCAGAAGGAGAAAAATATTATGCAGCAGTTGAAGAAAATATTCAACATAAAGGCTGGCAAGGAAAGTGCTGGTAAGTATGCTATTCAATTTAAATGTGTATATAAATAATTAAATTAATGTGTTTATGTTAAATATATATTTGTATATCTGTATATATATATATATACAGTATTTCTTCTGTCTAATATGCCACAGTGGTATGCATGCAGTTCAATTTAAATACCAATAAATATAAATGTATATATATAATATATATATGTATATATATAGTGTTTGTTATGTTTAAAATAGCCTAGCGGTATGCATACAATTCAGTTTAAAGGAGTATAACTAAGAAAGCATATTATATATATGACTTTATATATATATATATATATATATATATATATATATATTCCGTTTAGCATATCCTGTACATTGAGAACTTTCCCCTTGTTGCGTATAAATCAATAATTGTAGATATATATATATAATATATATATATATATACATATATTATATATATCGTTGTTTCTTTTTGTGCATTCTATTTGTTATTCTCTATTGTATATTATTTGTTTTAATCTAACTGGCTTTCTTTTTATTAATTTTTTGTTTATTTCCTTCTTTCTAATTTCTCTTTGCCGTTTTTATTGATGACGTTCAATCTTTCTCCTGATTTACATTTAAAACCCTTCAGAATGCTCCTTACTTATGTATATATATATATATATATGTAATAAAATAATTAAAATATTATTTACACTGCGAATAATGTTAATTAATGTATATATCAATAGTATATATATATAATTATATGGTAATATTCCTTAATATTGCATTTCGTTACTCCATCTTCTATGTAATGCGGTGCTGGCTGTATCAATATATATATATATATATATATATATATATAGAAATGCTGTATTAATTAAAATGCTCCTTATTTTATTTCGTAAGTACATATTTATGTGCATAACACTCTATTATATATAGTATACTCTTTGTAATGAACATACATAAATATTATATATATATATATATATACTGTTTGTTATATTTGTTTAATCCAGGGAGTGCTGCGGAAGTGAAGACAAAAATGCGCCTGGGTGCGTCGTAGGGCCCCACATTACATACTAAAAAATTCTTTTAGTTTGCAATTATGAAAAACAAAGTACTACCTTTCTTTATACAGAACATCTCTTTCTCATTACCTTTATTTAAATATATAGATATATACATTTATATGTTACGTAGAGTTCGTGTTCCCTTCTGAGAGCTCTAGTTAAATTATAGTTATTTTAGATATACCTGAAGAGATATGAGTGTACGTACACGAGACAGCTAATATAACAGTTAATAAGGGTATATATATATATATATAAATTGTTGAATTAAAGATATTCGTTTGCTATTGAAGCAGACGGAACCCTATACATATATGTACACTGTTCAAACGATGAGGAAGGCCCTCATAATAAGTAGAATATTATTTAAAGGTGCCGCGAAGAAGGAAGGCGTAACACCGAAGAAACCAAAGGCCATTTAAATGAAAATACGTCAATCAGTTCCAATCACAGTGGTCACACATACATATATACAGAAATATAGATATACAAATATACATATATATATAGGAATATAGATATATATATATGCTAACCAACAGCAATAGGACGGGGTATATACATTGAACTCAGATAAACCCAAAATTTGATTCCCTGCCGAGCACTTTACGGGAAAACGACGACATAGCGTCGGCAACAGAAACCAAGGGAACGGCTCCAAAAAGGCGGTAGACACCACACAAACCATCAATAGACAACAAAGCATCTCATAAAATCGAACAAAATACTGTATTCACTGGGATTGATAACCCCGAAGGGTCGGAAGGGTGCGCCGCTCACACCGAATGTGTAAGGGCGAGGCGACGCCTGAAGGATGCTGGAGCAAGCTCTTAGCAAAACCTTCCCCAAACAAAAATTGTTGTGACAGATTTGGATCCAGTTGGATCCATATCAGTTGTCACACTGATAAGAACAGATACTACACTTGATCATAGCCAAAAGGCCGAGAAGGTATGCTTAACATACACCGGGAGGCCTCTACCCCTAAGTAGATTGAACGGCGAATAAGGCTCGGAAATTTTCTTTTTCCGAACTGGGAAACATAAAATTTTTTAAAAATTTTCCTTGATAATATCAATTCGTATGCATCTTTAAAATTATTTTTAATTATTTTCCCTTTATTTTTCCTAGTTTTATTGAAAGAAGAATGTTTTTTGTTCACGGCTATCATCACCTGATCGCTCTTGGGGGGTCGTCGCCTCTACTTCCGAACGGATGATACTCGTTATCCCGCGGGAGAGTCTGAGGTCTAACAAGCAGCATTAATTACCCTTTTTATTAAGAAAAACATAAAAAAGAAATTTAATATTAGTATTTATTGAACTAATTTCACTCATTTTCACCAAAATAAGGGGTTTTCACTCCTCTTGTTCTCCTCTACAAAACTCTTCTTGTACTGAAACCTGCAACATATGAATTTTCGTTCTGCCGACAGGCAGCCCTCGTCTTGCAGCTTTTTTACAACATTCTTCTCCATTTTTTCTACACCTATGACTTTAAAATCTTCTTTTTACTCAAACTCATCAAAGACAAGCCTTGCTACCTCGCCGTTATCCCCATTTCCCGCCTACTAACATCAAATAGTCCGTGTTGCAGCTTCATATCAGTATTATACACAGATATCTCAGATGTTTCTGACAGCATTTTCTGCAATAAGACAGCCTATTTAGGTTGTTTTTCTTCTTTTCTTTTTATCTTCCCCCTCTGCACAAGGGAGTGGTGGTGGTTGGGGCATACTGAACGCCGCCTGCCTGTTTTTTAATTGAATTCTTTGAAAAAGAAGGAAAGAAAGAAAGAAAACAAAAGCAAGGCTAATGTTCTCACCTATGCGATTTGCATGGAATGGAGAGGGGGCCCCAGGTGCAGCTCAGGGCTCCACAGTTGTCCGTAGAGTGGAGAGAGGGAAGAAAGCAGTATATTTAATGAATAGACTGAAGCGAAAAGCTTTGGTATGGGGTTTATTATTTCTCCTAAGTGTCTGTATATACAACGCGCTCGCCTTTGTTGGTCTCTTTAAGCTTATTCCTCTTTCAGGAAATACTGCGTTTCATACACCTACAAGCGACGTGTATAAATTTCTTCATGATATATTAGCCAATGCAGCTCTACCTCTTGCCCCTTCTTCAGACCCTTTCGATCATCATGCCGTTGTCGTCGGACCCTATGGTAATAAACCCTAAACCCTAAACCCTAAACCCCACGCACGCACACATTCAGGTGATGAACGGGAGGCAGCGTTGCGTTTGGTTCATCAGGGAAGGGTTTAATTTCGGATTAGGGTTTGGGGTTTAGTGTTTAGGGTTTGTGGTTTAGGGTTTAGGGCTTGGGGGGTTATAGAGGGCTTACGAACGCACCATTCATTGCATGCAATGAACAGCAGTGCTATATGCTATAAATTATTTAAATGCTTTATACGCTCTAAATAATTTCAGTAACTGCAACAATATAAATTATTTAAATGATGTAAATAATTTTAATAATTCAAAACCCTTTAGTTGCTTTAAAAGATTTAGGTGTTTAGGATGCTTTAAATGGCCTTAAATAATATAAATAATTTAAAACCCTTTGAAATGTTGTAAGTGTTTTAAATGATTAAAGTGCTTGAAATAATTTAAATGTTTAAAGTGCTTTAAATAATTTTACTACTTTAAAGTGTTTTAAATGATGTAAATGAGTAAAATGCTTTAAATAATATAAATGAATACTTTAAATTGTTTTTAATGTTTTAATTGTTTTAAGTGTTTTATATTGCATCTTCAGGAGCCGTCCGGGCTCCGTACACCCGTAATATGGAATTACTAATGAAGAAATTAATTCAAAATGTTTGGCTTAACAGAACGCCAATTGAAATTGAAGATAATTTCTCTATTATTATTAGTGCTAGAAACGAAGAGGTAAGACTTTATTCTTCTTCTTCTTGTCTCATTATTATTATTGTTATTATTTATTATTAGTATTATTGTTATTATTATTGTTGTTTGTATTGCTAATACAGCTCTTCTTATTATTTCATTTGCTGCGCATGATGTATTTATTGTTTTTGTTTGTTGCTGCTGTATCTCCTCTTCTTCTCTTTGGTATTTGTTTTGTTTTATTCTTTGTCTTCATTCTTTTCTTGTTGTCTCTGTTTTATTATTATTATTTTTTATTTTGTCGTCTTTGTTGTTCTTCTTCTTCTGGCTGGTGGCCTTACTCTATCTTCTTTTTCTTCTTTTTCTTTTGCTTCTTCTCTGTGTTTTCTTCTTTATTCGTTTTTTTATATCTTTCTTTCTTGCTCTTACATTATTTTTTTATTTTTCGTTTGCTTCTTTCTTTGGTGTTAACACATGTACATGTCCATTTGCTCGTTGTGTATTTCTCTGCTTTATTATTTTTATTTAATTAATTTAATTGATTTATTATAATTGAATTTATTTACGTTATTTGTTTACTTTGTTAATAATATTGGGGCTGTCACTATTATTATTATTCCGCTTCTAGTGTATATGCATGTATGTATGTGTGCGCATTCTGTTTCTTTCTTTTTCTTTTCTTTTTTAATTCAGAAGTATTTAGTAAAGACTTTGTTGTATTTATTTGAATACACCAATTATAATACCATTAAAGAGGTTATTATTGTGGATGATGCAAGCGATAAACCTGTAAAAACACTTCTTCAAGAGAACGACAGCAAACTCCAATCAAAAATTAAAAATAAAATCAAAGTCATTCGCTTCGGTATACACCGCTGAAAATTTATTCCTTTATTTTCACCGATGCTTTTGCTGCTGCTGCCGCCGTTGCGTTTGCTGCTATTGCTGCTGCTTCTTTTCTTGCTGTTGCTGTTTTTTTTTGCTGCTGTTGCTGCTGCTTCTGCTTCTCTACTGCCCTGGCTTGCTGCTGCTGCTGCTTTTGCTGGTGCTTTTTACGCTGCTGCGCCTTTTGCAGCTGGTATTGCTCATGCTGCTGCTGCTGCTGCTTATGCTGCTGCTTCTGCTGCTGCTGCATATATTTGATTTTAATTGCTTCAAGTGCGTATTAATCAATTAATTAATTAGTTAATTACTTTATTTTTATTGTTTTGTTTGTTTGGGGTGTATGTACAGACGAACCTCAGGGTTTAATTCGAGGAAGAATTGCAGGAGCAGACGCCGCTGTTAGTACAAATTTATTTTTTTTAGATGCGCATTGCAAACCGAGAAAAAATTGGGAATATCCGCTCCTACAGCACTTAAAAACAAATTACAGAAGAGTTGCTTGTCCTGTTATCTTTGTGAGTATAAATATATTAATATATAAATATATAAATATTATATTTATAGGCATATTTATTGTTGTTTGTTTATTATTTGTCGTTCTTTGAATTCTTTTACTTCAATTTCTGCATGCATCGTTAATGCATCTGCATATCATATATATATGTCATATATATATGTATATATATGTATATATATATATATATATATGTTGATATATATACATCTATAGTCCTAGTCATATACATATACATATACATATACATAAACAATAATATATATATATATATATATATTTATGAAGTAAGAGAATAGATAGGGGTGTGTGTGCAGGACATCCGCGAAGACAACTGGGAAGACGTCGGGACGCAGGGTTCGAAGATGATGTTTGAGTGGACATTTGAATTCAGCTGGTTCGACGATGTTCAAGAAGAAATTCCTGTCATGTCCGGCGGTATCTTAGCAATGACTAAGGAGTGGTGGATTGAATCTGGTACGATATATATACAATGTATATATATATATATATATACATATATATAATGTAGTTGTATTTCTCTATAGTATGTTCTATTTTATTATGTAAGAAAAAAGAAACATTTCTATCTATCTATATATATATATATATCTATATATATCTACATATATATATTTATTTATATTTATTTTATTTATATTATTAAAATTTCAGTCATCTCCGTTGGCATGTTATTAATTAGCAAACGATGGAAAACTTAATTATAAATAAATAAATAAATAAATAAATAAAAAGATAAATAAATAAATATATATATATATGTATTTGTATAACAATTTACTACTATACTATTTATATATTCCGATAGTAGAGTATTGGTTAAGTAGCTGAAGAAGATAAAGAAGAAGAGATTTGTTTCTATTTAAATGTACAGGCAAGTATGACGAAGGAATGTTAGAGTGGGGTGGAGAAAACTTAGAACAATCAATGCGCTTGTGGATGTGCGGAGGAGAAGTTGTAGTCGATCCCCGATCCCAGATCGGCCACATCTTCTCCAGGCCCCCCAAGCCTAACCCTCAGAATAAACTTGTTATTCAGGTATCTATACATATATATATATGTAGATGTATATATATAGATGTATATATATTTATATATATTGATGTCTATGTATTCATATAATATATATATATATATATATAGATCTATATATATTCATATATATAGATGTATATATAGATATGTATAGATTCATATATATACATAGATGTGTATATATTTACACATATAGATGTATATATATTTATATACAGATGTATATATATGCATATATATATATATTTATTTATATGTACTTAAATACATTATGTATGTAAGGGCATTATATTTACTTTAAATGTTATTATATAGTTTAAATATTATATAGCTTAAATAATATTATACAGTTTAAATATTATATAGTTAGATGTTATATACTTTGAATGTAATGCATATATATAATATATATATATAGTATAATATGATATACAACTATATATTCATATGATGTGTTATACTAAATATAATAATAATAATAACAGTAATAATAATAATAATATAAATAATAATAGTATAGATCTTATTAGTTGAGGGTTAATAGACATCCATCTTCAACAAACAAACGCGAAGAAAATCAATTGATACTATCTTCTCTTTTTCTGTTAAACAAGCACTGCATACATATAATATAATAATTATTTTAATATAATTTCTTTTTTGTTTATTATATTAATAGATGTCTTTACTAGTATATAATTTATTATGTTGTTACAGGTACAGAAGAATCAAAAGAGAGCAGCAAAAGTATGGTTGGATGAGTATTATGTTTTATTTTATTTATATCATCCGGAAGTTCGTGGGCATGTTGAAGGAGATATATCTAAAAGAATAGAATTAAGATATTCTTCTTTAACTTGCATGCCTTTTCAATGGTATGTAGATAAATTTAAAACTGCTTTTCAAAGAAAACTTCTTCTCGATCATGATTACAGACATATACAGCATAAAGCATCAGGTAATCTATTACTAAATAAATATATATAAATATATACATATATATATGCTTATCTATTGCTTATTTCTGTTTATGAATCTATGTATATATATATATATATATAGAGAGAGAGAGAGAGAGAGAGAGGGATGCATATATATGTGTTTATAATATGTGTACGCTCTCCGCTTAGCTATATGTATATATATATATATATATCAACATGCATGCATATATATATATATATTTATTTATTTATTTATTTATATGTTTGTTTGTTTGTTATGTTAGGGCTCTGTGTGTCTGCCGATAGAAAAGTGAAGACTTACGACTCCATCAAATTATCGCCTTGCGATGTCGCAGACCCAGATCAGGTTCGTCTTACTGTTTTCTTTTATTTGTTTTGTTTGTTTTGTTTGTTTTGTTTGTTTTCTTTTATTTGTTTTCTTTTATTTGTTTTGTTTGTTTTGTTTTCTGTTAGTTGTTTTGTTTTAGTTGTTTTGTTTTAGTTGTTTTGCTTTACTTGTTTTGTTTTACTCGTATTGTTTTACTTGTTTTCTATTACTTGTTTTGTTTTATTTGCTTTCTTTTTGTTGTGTTGTTTTGTTTGTTTTGTTTTATTTGTTTTGTTTTGTTTTCTTTTCCTCTAGTTGTTTTCTTTATATGTATATTATATATATATATGCATATAAGTATACATATAAATATACATATATATATGTACATCTATATGCATATATTCGTTCTTGTATTTGTATTAAACATCTTCACATATAATATCGTCTCACATAATATATTTTATATATCTCACATAATATATTTTTTCTAGAGTGTATATCTTGGATTGTACAATATATATCATTTCATGCATTTAACCTCATTATATCAATTAACAAGTTATGTTAACTTAAATATCCTATACTGCAATATTATATATATATATATATATATATACACCTATATATATATATATATATATATTGTATATAATTCACATGATATATGTATGCATATGCTTGACTGACAATTTTAAGTGTGTTGTTTATTCAACCCCCTGCACGCATATATACAATTATAAATATAATTATATGATTATATAAACATATATATATATATATATATATTTATTTATTTATTAATATATTTATTTATATGTTTATTTGCGTTTGTTTACACCTCAGCACTGGCAAGCAGTGAGCGGGAATCGAATGCTGCAGAACAGAGGCACCCGCAAATGTTTAGACGCTGCAATATATGGTCATAGCTCTCCTCCTATTTTATATAATTGTGACTGGAATGGAGTTATTAGAAGAGAGAATATCAACCAGCTCTGGCAGTGGGATGTGCCCTCTCCCGCTGCTGCTGCTGCTGCTGCTGCTGCTGCTGCTGCTGCAGCTGCAGCAGGAAGCGCAGCAGAAGCAGAAGATGATCAAGGTCAAACTACTGGAAGAATATTCTCTTATGATGGATATTGGGGGCTTTCACTTACAGGTACAGATATCTTTCCCTTGCAGAGAAGTTATTTAGAAGGGCCTAAGGCTCTTTGTCTTGCTGCAGATATCAGCAGCAGCAGCAGCAGCAGCAGCAGCAGCAACGATAGCAGCAGCAGCAGCAGCAGCAGCAATAGCAGCAAGAATAAAGGTAAGGCTGACAATGCGCAGCACGATAACGCAGCAAACTCCGTAGCAGCAACAGCAGGAGCAACAGAAGCAGCAGCAGCAGCAGGAAAAGATGCAGCAGCAAGAGCAGCAGCAGCAGCAGCACCACGTCTGTTTATCAGGCCTTGCGCTGGGGGATCAGATGCAGAATTGCGCTTCGTCTCCAAGTGGAGTTGGTCGCCTTTGTCTTCTCGCTTTGGAAGAAGGACGGTAGAAGATGCATTAAAAATAACTGATGAATTTGCAAGCAATTATGTAGAGGGAAAGTAAACAAATATTTCAATGATGTAGCAGCAATGCTGCAGCAGCTACAGCAGCAACAGCTGCAGTACAAAGCGGAGATGAATGAAAAGGCTGACAAGCGAAACAAACAAACGAAATTTAGTTTGCATTACGAAAATATAAAGATGAGAACGGGAGAAAGATATTTTTTTCTGCTGTCTTTCTGTATGCAGCGCAGCTTCTCTCGAAGCCCCTTAGCACATCTGCTGCAAATAATAAATAAAATGCAGCAGCAGCACCACGAAGATATTCAGGGCGACCGTTTGAATAAACTTGGTTAATTAAATAAGTATTATTATTATTCATCATAAATATTTATTGTCAGGGATTTGCTTACGTGTTAGGGGGCTTATTATTATTATATATATATATGTATATATTAAACCCCTTATATATATATATATATATATACATATATATATATATATTAGTCTAGTGCACTATACTATAGGAATCAATAAAAATAGAAGGAATTAAAAGAGTAATCTGGGGAAACAAAGCAGCGAAACCATTCAGCAAATACAGAAAAAAAGATTAAATACAGCACTAAATATATAAATTTTTGTGCATTTTGGTGATAGTTTTGTTGCTTTGTTTCCCTCGATGTCTTCTTTGTTTAATTCCTTCTGTATTTATTTATTTCTGCGTTCAAGTACTCCTGCGTTTAATTAATTCTGCATTTATTAATTTCTTTATTTAATGGTTAATTCATTTAAGTGAGAAAAATGAATTAACAATTGAAGCTGAGGTGTCTGTACACCTGAAATGCATCTATTTCCAAATGAATGCGTAGAAAATAATCACGTCTCCTACAAACAGCACCAAAAGAGGGAGTAATAAAATAAAACGAGACTTGCTCAAATGAAGCTGCTTCTAAAACAGCAGCAGCAGCAGCAGCAGCAACAGCAGCAGCAACAGCAGCAGCAACAGCAGCAGCAACAACACCAGCACCTCGAAGTACCTGAAAATGCTGAGAGTGTTTCAGGTAAATGCAAGTTTTCAACATTACAAAAACAATAATAAAACGAAATATATGCAGTATGGTCAAATAATAATAATAAACAATAATAAATAATAATATTTATTATTATTTATTATTATTGATAGACAGAATTCGTCTTTAAAAAAGTTAAGAACAGGGGGAATTAATATTAGCAATATTCATCGCTGCTGCATGCAAATGAAGAACATCTGGAAGTTTGTATGTAGTGTCTGCATTTGCTGAAGAAATAGGAAATAGGAGAGAAGAGGGTTTATTAATAGCTTTGATTTCTCTCGCTAAGAGAGCCCCAGCAGAAATATTAAGAAAATCTTCTAACTCGACCTTCTTGCATGCAGGGTTAGAGAAGTCCGAATTAAATATGCATGCAAGTTGTTGTACTGGCAGCAATGCATGTTTCTTTAAGAGAGATATCTCCCAGAGACTTATCTTAGCTTCTTTTCTTGCTAAAGGAGTTATATCTTTCTTAGTATTGACTCTTAAACGTGCAGGTGTTGCTGCTGCAGCTAAACGCAATACTGCATTTTCTTCTTCTTCTTCTTCAAGCAATTCATCATCGTCTTCCTCTCCTGAACTAAAAGAAGATAAACCCCCGCCGCCTTCTCTTCTCCATCCTGCTGCACCTTCACCAGCAGCAGCAGCAGAACCAGCAGCAGCAGCAGCAGCAGCAGCAGCAGCAGGAGCGGTATGTGCATTTTGTTTTTTTCTTATTTTTGCTGAGCAGTAGTCGAAAGCATCTCCTGAAATCCTCAGAGTTGCCGCCACATGTGAAGGAATGCTAACTAGAGGTTTGCATGTATTGAAGTATTTATGAAGTAGAGAAGCAGCAAGTGCTTGAAGAGAAAGAGATGCTGCAGGAGAAACAATGCATGCAACTCTGCAGCATTTCTTTATAAAACAGGCTATAAGACATGTTGGAAGCATATCGCTACGAAGAGCAATATTTAATAAACGCAGAAAACGAGAGCGGAGACGAGCAGCAAAAGCAGCAGGCGTCAGCAGTCTGTACAGCTGCTGATAGAAATGCACGCCTGCTTCTGCTGCTGCTTCTGCAGCACTGCTGCTGCTGCTGCTGCTGCTGCTGGAGTTGTTTAAAAGACTTTCTCTCCTCATAACTAACTCTGGGTCCCCCAGTCTGTGTTTTGTTAACAAGAAGAAGAGCCCCGATAAAGCAGAAATACGATGAGAGATTTGTTTGCTGATTGCGAAAGCATTGAGAAAGAAATCTGCAAGGAGAATAGGATTAGACAAGAGAGGCAGCACACGGCGAGGGACAGACTGCAGCAGCTGCTGCAGCGTCTTGCTGCTGTGCTGCACATGCAGCAGCAGCAACAACCACGCACTCTGAAATGCAGTCCGATGGTTGCTGAAGTGCAGAGCCTTAGAAGCACTCAAACCATGAATAAACGTCTTCTCCTTATTCTTTTCATCTTCTTCGGATACAGAAGATGCCTCGTCTTCTTCATCTTCGCTCATATCATTATCTTCATCTTTGCTGTTGCTGTTGCTGCTGCTGCTGCTGCTGCTGCGCTTCCGGTTCTTCTTACCTAAGTAGCGGTCGCCTGCGACAGTATCTGCTAACTGCAGCAGCAAAGAAGTCAGCCTGCTGCTCAGCTCAGCCTCTCCTATCTTCCAAACATACCACTCTGTTTCTTTCCCCTCTTCTGTCTCGCTCTCAGCTTCCTCCGCAGCAGATGCAGCTGCAGCAGCAGCAGCAGCAGCAGTAGGAGTCTGGTGCGTGAGGCTGTTGTTGTCTTGGTTTTCCTTTCGTGCAATGAACTCCCTCAATATCTTCAAAACCACCACAAACAAATAATAGCGGATATCAACATATTTCTGTGCGTAGTTTTGCTGCAGCAGCTGCTGCAGGTAGCTGGTGAAGCTGTCAGTCTGCAGCAGCCGCGAGATGAAGAATTGAAATACAGAGAGAGGAAATGTTGAAGACCTGTGCACTTGCGCTTCATGCTTTATAATTCTAAATAAGTAAGAAAGACCCAGTTGCTGGATATGCGCTTCTTCAGACTCCAGAAGACCGAACACAATCGAAACAAACACCTCAAATGACTGATGCAGCCATTCAATAAAAGCGGCGTTTTCTCCTTCTCCTTGCCCCGGATGAAACCCAGAAGGGGAATATGGAACCTCTAATTCAATCTTTTTATTGCATAACAATCGAAATAAATCCTCACAATGTTGTAATAACTCCTTCGGCTTCGTGCATGCGCGACAAGCGTCTACCAGCGCACGCACCTCAGCGGCATACTCAGAAGGAGTTGAAGGCCCAAGAGGCCTTCCTCCAGTCATTTTCTTGAAATATTTCCATTTAATTATCAATTAATCAAAATACAGAGAAAATCAGAAGAAATTTGTCGTCACAGCATCCGCGGGCCCCACGCAGCATGCAAGGGAAGCCAGGGCTGTCTTCCGTTGTATTCCCTCGACGCCTGCGGAATTTTCTGGTTTTTTTGCTTTTTCTTTATTGAAAATATGGAGAAACAATGAAAAATGTGTCTTTTAATAGTGGAAATATCAGAAAGGCTGAAGTGCGATCCCCGTTGATGGGTGGATCGGTCAGAAGAAGTACAGGTGTGAACATCCAATTTCGTGAATATCCTGAAAAAATATATATACGGTGTACATACACCTCATTATGGCTTAGTGAACTAATTTTTAGATTATTTGAAGTTAAATGTTTGAAATGCTAGCCCTTGTTCTTTGCTAATTAGTTGAATTGCACTTCCTCTATTCTTTTTCTGCAAATGTTTCTCTGCCTTTTCTCTTTCTTTCGGTGGTTGTTGTATGCAAGTGTTTCACATTCAGGTACAGAAATATAAACTTTCGTTTACTTTTCTCCGTTATACCTAAATCACCTCAATGCGTATCTTATACCGCGTTATATCCTTCGTTTGCCTTTCCGCTCATTCAATGCAGCAATTGAATTTGCTGTCAGGTTTCGTGTGTACATACACCTCAAACATAACACATGCGTTGTTTTTAAAAAGGAATTGAGTTGAATAAAAAGAAATAATTTGAGAATAGTGCTCCCGAGGGGGCTCGAACCCCTGACCTTCGGTTCATAAGACCAACGCTCTAACCAACTGAGCCACGGGAGCTATTGCTGAGTTACTTTTCCCTTTCTCTTATTAAATTATTCTGCATATTTCTTCTTTTTGTCTTTATACGGCTTTTTATTCATTTTTATTTTCCTCTTTATCATCAAACGAACAAAAATGCAACGGGAGATCCTCCCCACCTGGATCTACAGCATATATATACAGATGTATATGATAACAATATAATGCATATATATATATATATATATATATAATAGCAGCAAAAGAACCTATGGTGCACGGGAAGAGGAAATCAAAGAACTTGCACTTTGCCTTTCCTGCATTCTTCATGGAGTCACTCATTTTTATATTTTCCAAATATATACAACAAAAAAAGACGAACGCTCAGCCCCTGTACCTTCTTTTTTCCTGTTTGCATTACATAAAAATACATATGTATATATAATATTTACACGTATGTATATTTATTTACTTGTTTATTCATTTATATACAAGTGCATTAAGTACTTATGTAAATGTATATAGGCGCAACAGTAGATTGACAAATAGAAAGAGATGAAATATAATACGAAACTTACTTTTATATATTTATATGTAAACTTCAATTACTTAATATTTCAACTTCCAGCAACTTCCAGTGAATAAAAGCAGCTGCAAGAAAGAACAGATATATATATATTTATTTATTTATGTAGATATATTTGTACATATACTTTTTTTTATTATTATTCGACGGTGGTGGACAGTGCTGAAATCCACCATCTTCGAACTATTCGTAGGTGGTGCGGAGACCAATAAAGTCTTATTGACAGGCAAATATTATTATTCATGAAGAGCATCCCTATAAATAAATAAAAAAGTATATATATAGTTATGTATGTGCATGTATAATATATATACATACAGAGAGAGAGAGAGAGATAGAAATATATATATATATATATATATATATATATATCTGTGAGCACATGTACGCATAAACATGCATAGACATGCATATGCATAAATATAGATAAAGGTCTATCTGTACACACATAAACATAAACGTAAATAATATATAAAGTAACAGGCATCACTGTTGCAGTTTGAAGGAGAAGAGAAAAGAATTTTGAGAATGCAGCAAATTTTCTGTTTTGTTGTGTTGTTTGTCTTGAATTCTTCTTTGATTCTTTTGTTCTTTTTATAGTTTTTTTTTCTGTTTGCCGTCTTCCTCTTTGTTTGTATTTGCTTGCATTTGTTTTTTTGCTTCTGTTCGCTTCACTGTCTCTAGCAATGACTGCTAATGCTTGTATTTAATTTTTTATGTTTACTTTTATTTGTTTTCTTTCTCTCTGTTTGCAGCTGTGTCTGTTTGTCTTTGTCTCTGTCTTTTCCTTCGTTTGTTCGTTGCTCCATGTTAAATTGTCTATGCTTGTCTTTGATTATATTTGCATTTGTCTTTGCTTTAGTTTGTTTTTGTTGCTGTTTTCTTCTTCCTCTTCGTTTTTCTCTGTCTCTGTCTTTGTCTTTGTCTGTTCTCCTCTCTACATTCTTCTATGAATGTAACTTTTCTGTCTGTAAATGCAATTGCAACTCACTCCAGATGCATATAATATATATATATATATACTGAATACAACTACCTATCTATGTATCTGTCTATCTTTCTATTTATTTATCTATCTACCTCTCTCGTTATATATATAATATATATATA